GTATATGTATAATTTCTACATTATTTTTGTATATGACAAGACTTTTGTCCAGGCAAAAAGTTGACCTTTCTGTCCTAATTACATGACAAAACTCAATGAATGATGAAAAACTTTATTTTGGTATAATAAGCATAATCTAGAGGGCTTTGACTTTCTTATAAGCCATTTCTGATTCCAACTGATTAACTGCAGGTCAAGTTATTATTTGTTGTTCCTACAACTTGGTTAAGTGACAAGACTTGTCAGGCACCAGGCACTGTGTGTGTGTGTGTGTGTGTGTGTGTGTGTGTGTGTATATATATATATATATATATATATAAATATATATATATATAAAAAACACACACACACGAGAAGGAAGATAGTTATGTGAGTAGCAAGGACAGGGTGAACAAGGTGAAACTCCTCCCTCTCTTCCCACACGTTTGGGATTACTACATTTTTCATACCTCTTCCACAATATTGCTTCCATCCTCTAAGATTTTAGAGTAGTTTTCATGGATATATTTTTCCTCCCAGTCCTATAAATGACAGAAAATACAACCCACAAGATATTATCTGGTAGAAGAGAAGCAAGGATGGTCTCTATTACTGTAACAGTTGCGAGGGTGGTCTCTATTACTATGACACAGACAAAGGGAGTTCATTATTGTAAAGGGAGCGAGGGCGATCTCTATTATTATAACACGGATAGGGGCGTATTACAAAAACAGGCATGAGGGCAGTCTATTTCAGCAATAGGAGTGAGGGCAGTCTCTTTTGGAGTGACAGGGATGGGGTGGTCTATCACTGAAACAGGAGTGAGGGTGGTCTATCACTGAAACAGGAGTGAGGGTGGTCTATCACTGTAACAGGAGTGAGGGTGGTCTATCACTGTAACAGGAGTGAGGGTGGTCTATCACTGTAACAGGAGTGAGGGTGGTCTCTGACAGTGAGCCTACGTCGCTTTACCATGGGGTTGTCGAACATCTGCCACATGTCAGGGTGGAGGAGGCTGCTGTTGTAGCTGGAGCTGGAGATGAGGCGGCCAAAGTTGTCACGGTTTGAAACAAACATGAACACACCCTGAGAGACAAGAGTGAAGGAGAAAAAGACAGGCAGATATAGAGAGAGACAGGCAGGCAGAGGGAGAGAGGCAAACAGAAACAGACAGGCCAAGACAGAGAGGCAGACAGACAGAGAGATAAACAGAGATAGACAAACAGAGGGAGAAGGGCAGAGTTACTGTCAGTGACACTCTAAATTTCTCACAGACACAGACGGACACATGCAGAGACAGAGACTGACCTGCTCCCTCACCGCCCTGCAGAAGGCCATATCGGTGTCCTGATCCTTCTGTGAGGACAGAGAGAGACTGACCTGCCCCCTCACCGCCCTGCAGAAGGCCATATCGGTGTCCTGATCCTTCTGTGAGGACAGAGAGAGACTGACCTGCTCCCTCACCGCCCTGCAGAAGGCCATATCGGTGTCCTGATCCTTCTGTGAGGACAGGCTGATCTGCTTCAGTTGGGTTCTCAGGGTGTCTCCTCGGATCAGGAACACCTGACTGATGTAGGGGACGTTCCACACGCCGCTGAGGAGGGGAAGGCGAGAGGGTCTTCACCGATCCGCCAAAGCCGCAGAGTCACACTGTCACACGGCCGTGCGTCTTACTCACTGTGTGAATGTACCCACTGGCTGCGGTCCGGTGGGGGGGGGGGGGTGGGGACTCACAGGCGCTTGCCCTGGACGATGTCGATGTAGTCCTCCGAGCGCGAGTAGTAGCCCTCCCTGCTCAGGGCCCCCCAGAAGTTGGACCACAGCTTCCCGTGCCGGGACAGCATGGGGGCAATGATCGGTCTGGGGGAGAGAGCCCCCCCGCCACGTTAAAGGCCATGTAGCCTGGACCCGCCCACCGCTTACCACCCATCCACGTGGCAACTCACTTATTCTCTTCGATAAGGATCCGCAGGGCATCCGGGTTCACCAGCGCCACGTCGGCGTCGATGCTGAAGTAATAGGCGCACATGGGATCCTGGCGGCACGAGGCCCTGAGGGACACGGCGAAAAACGACGACAGGGGCAGAGTGTACAGTGAAGAGCAGCGAGTCACCTTTGCAGTAGTGTAACGCTTACATGTGACGGTGGGGCTTTAACCAATCATTGGCCGTATGCAGGATCACATGATCAGTTTCACCAAAGCTAGACTGTGATTGGCTGCATGTTTGCTACAGACACTCACATGGCCATGGTTCTGGCCTGGCCAGGCTGTAGATTTTCCTCGGGCCCCACGATCCGGGCCTCAGGGAACAGGTGACGGTGCTGCTGCCAGAATCGCTGCATGTGAGGCTCGTGATGGACCACCTGAGGTGGTGGATTGGGCAGGGGGAAAAGGAGAGAGGGGGGAGGGACAGAGATATTTTACTTTGATCGTCTTATTACTAAACAACATGGAGGGAGAACATGGATTACGCTGGATGACTGACGTCCACAGAACATCTAAAGAAGATAAGATCAGCACAGACCACTGGCAGCCTCACTGCACTGCACTGGCACAGCACTGACACAGGGCGGAGGGTGAAGTGACAGTGACAGCAGGGGGACACTGGGATGGAAAAGATGCAGAAAGACGCTGAGGGAGGCTCAGTGACATCAGCACAACTCACTGGGGACCTGCCCACGGTGCCTCTGATTGGACACAGCAGAGATTAAACCTCTGGCCTGCCTCCTATCTATGTGCGGGTTTTTGTGGGCGGGGCTACTGACGTTGTTGTGGATGAAGAGCCGGAGCCGGTGGGCAGGGTAGCTCTGGGTGGCCAGCCTATCCAGGAATTCATCCAGAAAGGGGGTGGGCTGCTCGATGAACACGCCCACCTGCACGACGGGCAGCTCCTCGTCCTATCACGTCACACGTCAAATGCACGGTCACTGGCAGACACACGAGAGTGCAAAGACGGGCGAACGTGCCGTCGGACGCTCACCGGCACGTCGCCAAGGTATAGAAGGTCGTCATCGCAGATTCCGCAGCCGTGCTCGTGGGTCCAGGCCGTCGGGACGTAATTGCCCAGGTAATTAAGCTGTAGCTGTGTGACCGCACATGCATATACAAAGACATCAGTAAAGGGTGGAGTCAGCGCAGTCGTTTACAGGGAAAACTGCAGTTCAGAGTATAGTGAGGGGCCTCCAATTCAGGTTAAGTTCACTCCCAGCCCAGGATTAGCTCAATGAACTCAGACTTGTGCTGTCACCCACCTTGGTGGGGCCGTTGCCATGGATGATGACAGGAAGTGTGTCATAGGCCACATTCCTGATGCGGACCCGCTCCTTTTCAAACTTCATCACCACTTCCTCTGCAGACAGGAAGACAGTGGGGGGGGGGGTAGTTGCACAGTAGTTCGCTTTCCGCCATTTCTACAGTATCTGTAGTGTCAGTCACTTGGGTTGGGTCTCACCGAGGGCGCCGTTCAGGTTCTGAAAGATGTAGGAGCCACGGTCCAGAGTGATGTTCAGGCTTTTCTGTGGAAGACAGACAGTCGCATTCACAACATGCCATTTCCCGGCCTGATTTACCCTGTAGGTGGCCTGATTTACCCTGTAGGTGGCCTGATTTACCCTGTAGGTGGCCTGATTTACCCTGTAGGTGGCAGTAAGGTGCCCGTTGTGCATAGGACTGTATAACATGTATTTTTAATCTGAAAGCGTAAAATAAACTTGCGATTCACTTTAACTGCAGTTCATCTCTAATCCTTTAGGGGACAGTAATCGGGAGCAGGATGGATTTGGGCTGGACCTATGGGGGTTGCCAGGTCAGAACGGCAGAGTCCTTGAAGCTGAAGATTTTAGTGTAAAGTCATCGATATATATGCATGGTCTGGAACTCCAACTTGAATCGCCCAGGATTTGCCACCTGGATACCGTCGATTTTCCATCCATCCATCCATCATCTGCTGCTTATCCAGGGTTGGGTCTCAGGGGCAGCAGTCTAAGCAAAGATGCCCAGACCTCCCTCTCACCAGCCACCTCCTCCAGCTGAGAGATATAATCTCTCCAGCATGTCCTGGGTCTGCCTTGGGGCCTCCTCCTGACTGGACATGTCCAAAACACCTCCCCAGGGAGGCGTCCAGGAGGCACCCTACATAGATGCCCAGACCACCTAACTGGCTCCTATCGATGCGGAGGAGCAGCGGCTCCACTTTGAGCCCCTCCTGAACGTCTGAGCTCCTCACCCCATCTCTAAGGCTGAGCCCAGCCACCCTGTGGAGGAAACTTAATTTTGGCCGCTTGTATCCACCATCTCGTTCTTTCGGTCACAACCCAAGGCTCATGAGCATAGATGAGGGTAGAAACGTAGATCGACTGGTAAATTGAGAGCTTTGTCTTCTGGCCCAGCTACCGTCTTCACCAAAACAGAACGATACAGCGTCCACATTACTACCGACGCTGCACCTATCCGTCTGTCGATCTCCAGCTCCCTTCTCCCCTCACTCGTGAACAAGACCCCGAGATACTTAAATACCTCTGCTTGAGGCATCAGTCCATCCCCCACCAGAAGAGGGAAATCCACCCTTTTCCAGTCCGAGCAGTGGAATCCCAGAACAAGGCCCATTCAGGCTCCATGTCCCCTGACTCCCCCAGGAGAGAAGAGAAGTTCTGCCGGAGGTGCGAGCTGAAGATCTCCCAGACAGAGGCCTCCACCAGATGCTTCCAGCACCCTCTCACTATGGCTCTGGGTCTACCAGGTCTATCCGGCATCTTCCCCCACCATCAGATCTAACTCACCACCAGATGGTGATCAGTTGACAGCTGAGCTCCTCGCTTCACCCAAGTGTCCAAAACATATGGACGCAGATCCGACGATACGATTACAAAATCGATCATCGACCGCAGCCTTAAGTGTTCTGGTGCCAAGTGCACTTATGAACACCCTTTTGCTCAAACAAGGTGTTCACTATGAACAAACTGTGCTTAGCACAGACGTCCAATAACCGATTACCGCTTGGATTAAGATCGGGCAGGCCATTCTTCCCAATGAAACCCTTCCAGGTCTCACTGTCATTACCCACGTGAGCATTAAAGTCCCCCAGCAGATCAATGGAGTCCCCAGAAGGGGCACCTTCCAGCCCCCCCTCCAAGGCCCCCAAGAAGGCCGGATACTCTGAGCTGGTGTTTGGCACGTACGCAAAACTGTCACAGTCACCAGGCGACCCTCTCATCTCCTGGGGTAAATTCCATCACACTGGCACCGAACAGGGGGATATAAACAGCCCCACCCCTGCCTGGTGCCTCTCACCATGGGCAACTACGGCATGGAATAGAGTCCAGTAATAATCATCATTATTACTATTATTATTATTCTATTCCACCTGCACTGATCCAGGATCTTGGGTCAGATGTTAAGCCCCCCCCCCCCCCCCAACTGTGGATCACACCCCCCACTCAGAACACCTACCCTCTGCACCTCATCCAGGTAGATCTTACTGTAGAACAGCTGGTCATCTTCATTGTCCTCTCTCTTCCACTGCTGGACAATGGCGATGAGCTCCTGGGCGTGGCCTATGAATCCTGCGAGGGGGAGACCCACAGGGAAGCCCCGCCCCCAGACACTGATCACCAGGTGTGGGACAGCTCGACTTAAGGATCTGTGGGCGTGGCTGGCAGGTTCTGGGTTTAGATCCCATGGCAAGCAGAGTAATTGTATCACTCTTGGGCCCTTGAGCTAGGGACTTAAACCCAAGTGCTCCCGGATCACTGGACACCGGCTCACGCTATGTTCTGAGAGCGAGACGGACACTGTTTGGTAAAAACTACCCAGTTTCCCCAGGGGGATCAATAACATCATCATTTCTTCCATGTTAAGATATTTGCTCCCTATAGCATAAAATAGCTTCAGTAGCTTCAGTAAGACTGATGTCATATTAGCATGTTAGCACTTTCCGGCTGCTTCACCCCCAGCAAACACTGTGCACCCACCCCCAGAGTTGAGGAAGCGCAGGCCCGTCTTGACATTCGGGTACTGGGTCGCCAGCTTTTGGTCAGGCCAGCAGAAAGTATCAGCTGAGAAGACCACGCGGTGGCCCATTCTGGAGAACCTCCAGAGGAGCTCGCGGGGGCCGCTGGCGAAGATGACATCATAGCTGATGGGGACAGAGGTAAATGTGGTACTGCATGGTGGCATAGAGCAAAGAGGGCAAATGCTGATGGCATTTATGCCTTTTTGGCTGCATAGAATCATGGATTTTTCACTCAGCTGGCAATAATTTTCCAATCTCACCACAATTCCTTTAAAATTTGCGGAGGGGAACCTCGAATGCTTGCAAGAAACTACAGTTCACCTCTTTGTTCCTTTTCACTAAACCGTGAAACTGTGAAAGGCGGCAGCAGTACTACATGGACCATAATTGTAGGCTTCACTTTGTGGGTGAAGTGAGCGTTTGTTGTGAAAACAACATTTAGAGAAACGTAAAATTAAACCTAAAATAACAGCACAAGAAGAATGCAAAGCCGCAGGCTTCTCGTGTTAAATTTTGCACGTTTGAGACGCAGTATTAAGTTTCATGTTGCGAGCCTTACGACCACTTGAGTGTGCATTTAGGCTTGGAATGTGCGCTTGTACACGATAATATACGCCTAATTTGTTTTAACAAAACGATGTATCTGATTTACCCATTGCAGCTATTTACAGTTACTGTTGTTTGTAAAATATATATTTACCGTAACCATAGCGGGTCACAGTTTAACGCAATTTTATGCACCGTAAAAAAAAACTGCGGCACGTGAGCGCCGCAGCACGGGGGAAGACCGACCTGTCCACGAAAAGGATGACCAGCTCCGGATGCTCCTTGTACTTCTGCAGCTCCTTCTTCAGCCAGCGGACCCTGTGGCCCCCTCCTGGCTTCCCCCTCCAGTCCTCCCCAAAACCGAGCACCTACATGGACACAAGCACAGTACCGTACTATATACAAAACACACAATGTTTGCACGTTGAAAATGCTATGAAATCTCCACCATTTTCGTTTTGAGCATCTAGGTCACATCACCGCAAATAACGCACGGCATTTTCCTGGAGATAAAATACCTTGACGGTGTAGTTGAACTCCCTGGCGGTCCGCAAGAACCTCTTGAAGCCATCCGTCTCCTCCGTAGCCACCGTGACGACAAGAAGCTTTCCTGGGAATTGGGAAGGAGCCAGCTGAAGAACCTCAGTGTAGATACGTCATCACTAATGTTCAAGTAACGCACAGGTGGACCTTTTGATGTTAACATAGAGATACAGAACCGAGGTGCAAAACATCACGTAGCGCGTGGTCATCACAGGGTTAAATATCAAGCCGTGAAAAACGAAACTTAACCAGCTTTAAAAATGTAGTCTATTTTTTTAGAAAGAAAACTGAAAAATCCTCCTGCGATTAACGACTGGGGGAAAGAGACCAAAAACATCCATATTTAATGCATTTACAAGGATTGTGTTGATTAACTTCAGCGCGGATTTAAGGCCTGTAAATCTATATACTGTACAACACTTAGATAGCGCAAGTAGTCTAATATCAACCGTAAAAGTGACTAACATCATTATACCAAACGCTGTAATTCTGTGTAACGTTCACATGCGTGTTAATCATACGCGTTCTGGGAAGGGACGCGGAAAGGCTGAGACGCGGGGACGCGCACCTGGCACGGGGGCCCTCTGCTCCTGGGCATCTGTGCAGCGGGAAACGGCGCAAATAACGAGCAGGAGCAGCGCCACCGCCCCGTGGCCCGGATTCCCGCTGTCCCCGTCCCGTCTGCAGCGCGTCGCCATCCTGCTGAACATTAGGAAGGAACTGTGTTTTCAGTCCGTCAGCGCCCCAAGAGAAATCCTTAATCTCCGTTAAAGCCAACGAGGGGAAACAGAGTCCTTCCCAAAAAAAAATAAGGAAGAACACCGCATATAAAGCAGAATATAACGGACCGGACCGGACCGGTTCCGCCGGCGCTTCCGATCTCGGACCGGGTTCGGCACGTTTTAAAGGGGAGAGTCGGGTCTTTATTGCCACGTTTCAGGAAGAGTACGACAACGGCTTGTAGTCTGGACAAGGGCTGTTATCCGGCAGCAAAATATCTAAAAATAATAAAAGCTAAAATAACCTGGGGGCGGATATCCGAGCCACGTCAACGTAATATCATTAAGGCACGCGAACATACGCTGTATGTATACATTCATACGGCAAACAACGTAAGGCGGCTGATTAATGAAAACTGTCATCTTTAAGTTTTTCTACCAGAGCAACTTTTAATAATAGTCCGATACAGTAATCAGCTTCCCGGCCACTGAAAACGTTCTTCAAACTCCCCGTGGACCTGCAATGTGGCACTGGATGTTCAAACGAAATTGCAGCCTATGATTAAGGGACCCAGACACACATTGTGAGGGACGATATTTTATTGTGGTAGTAAAGGGGAGGGGGGAACATACAGCACAAGCCCGATCTCCAATACAATGTGCATTCTGTTAAGGTCACTGACACACAACGCTGAATTAACGTCTCTAACATTCTTTTATCAAGACGGTCACTGCCACGTGCAGAAAGAAATAGAAAATATATTAAAATAAACAATAAAATGGTGGTTTCTAAAAGAAGTCTACGTCCTCAGGAGCATCCAGGTCGCGGTATTCAATGATGTTGCGCGGATCTCCTCGGATCATTCTGGAAGATAGGGGACTATAGTGAGAATGGGAGATAATTCCCTCAAAGGAACCACAAGCAGACAGTCTGCACGTTTTCCTCATATAGCCCACTAGAGGGGGCTGAAGCATGGAGTTTAACAGTCTTACCTATTACGAGGCTTCCCAGGGTAGCCTCCCTGCCCGCGGAAGTTGTCATAGTTACCCCGGCCCCCTCCATACTGGTTGGGTGGGTAAGGAGGGCCACCTGGTAAAGTTTGTGGGGGAGGGGGGATAATAAAATATCAGCATGCAGCAGCATGAAAGATGGGAGACAAAACGCAGATAAAACAGCCTCACCTCCGTATCCCAGGACGGGGGGGCGTGGCTGACCAAAGCCAATGAGACCCTGAGGTGCTTGTGGAGGGAACGGCAGCCCAGGGGAGAGCACTCCTGCGGAGAGGGGGATGGGGGGGGCATGACTGTCTGAATGTAGGGAACAGCATTACTGTTAAGGGGAGCGAAACCTGCTACAGGACCAGGAAGTGCCGCACTCTACAGGACCAGGAAGTGCCGCACTCTACAGGACCAGGAAGTGCCGCACTCTACAGGACCAGGAAGTGCTCTGAACTGTACAGAGGAACCAGAGACTATGGCTTAAGCATAAATGGAACACTCTGCTTTGGACAACTCTGCCCCCATGTGTTACATAAGGGTGAGCTCAACCCAATCCAAGCCCAATTCAACCGAGTTTTGCTCCAAGCTTTGCTCCTACAGTAACTGGGGGTGGATCCATCCCGATGACAACAAGGAGTATCTCACCTTGGCCCGGGCCGGGGGGAGGCACGGGCTTCATTTCAGGGAGGGAGGGCCTCTTGGCATCCATGAGGAAGTTGTTGAAGAAGACGACTTCCTTCTTGACCTCCTCGATCTTGTCGCCATGCTTGTTCAATATGTGTTTGCGGACAAACTCTGGGCCCTGGGTGGAGGCGCCGTGAGGAGCAGATTAAAATGCCACAGAGGGCTCTCTGTTAAAACGTACTGCTGCATTACATATGCAGAAGAGAGGAGTCCCTGACGGAACCTGGGGCCCCACAAACTGATCCATGAAGGGGCTTAGATACACCCTCACACCGCTCCTCAGAGGACAGATACATCTCATGTACAAATGGATCTCTCCTCTACTGAATCACATGATATCACACTCCTACCAGCATCTGAACACTGGAAAGCCACGGAGGATGACCTGTGACCCGCAGCCCTCACGCAAGCCCGCGCTGGGCCCCACCCACCTTGAACTTCTTCCCACTGAGCGGACAGAGCCACTTGTCCTTGCCCAGTTCCTGGGTATTAGCCGACACAAACTTCTCCACTTCCTGCTCAGGGTCCTTGCGGCCCATCTTCGCGGCCTCGTCCTCCGATAGTGTCTCCCGCACGCTGAACAGAGGCGTGAGCTTCTCCTCGAAGGTCTTCTGCCACTCGGCCACTGAGGACGGAATGACAGGAGAGCTGAGCACCCCTAGAAAGCAGAGTCAGGTCTCCGGCAAGGTGGAAAATAGGGCAGGACCGAGCATGGATGATACCATGCAGTGAGAAAAGGGGGGGATGTGTAAATCGGGCCAGAGTATTAAGCAGGTACAACCAGAGTCACATGACCCTGAAGTGCAAGCCAGGACACACCCAGGCAGGAAGAACCGTCCATCACCTGGGCTTTAAAGGTATACATACCAAGCGAAGCTCAAAAATGCACAACCACATCACCATAATTCTTCTAATATGATGGAAAATACTAATTATTTCTCAGGACCGAAGGCACCAAAATAACGGTAACAGACAATTTTAAAAAGTAAGACGTGGACCCGTGAATTTATACAAATTCAATGAGTCAAAGAAACCTCCCAACAGTAAGAGCATGCAGGGAAATAGGACACAAACATGGAGCTAGGCCTGGGGTCAAAGGGGGAGGGGCTACCTTCTCCGTGGGTAATGCGATTGGGCGGGATGGGGCCCCTCACATGCACGATGCCACAACGGTTGGGCATCTCGTCCTCGTTGGGGTACTCGCAGGAATTGTAGTAGTCGATGGAGTGGACGATGCGTAGGTACTGCAGCAAGCGGTCCAGCACCTGGCACGGGGCAACCCAAAATCCCAGGGGGGTTAGGCCAACTGGTAGCTGGCAATGTGCTGTAATCACACCCACTATGGGCGGAGCCTATGCGCCACACACCTTCACCAGCTTTTCGTCCCGCTCCACGGTGATCTCCACCGGGTGTCCCTCCTTGCTGCCCTCCTCGGGTTCGCCTCCCCCAGCGCCCCCCAGCAGTTCCTCCTCCTCCGCGCTCACCTCCTCGATCAGATAGTCCGTGATGTTCTTCAGGATGGGGTTCTGGGCCGGGAGCTGGGGGTGGAACAAACAATGTAACAGGAGAGGTGGTGCGGTGGCCCCCCCCGATGACCTCAGGGGTGTTTCATACAGAAAACAGCATTTGCTCACTGCTGCCACCTACTGGGGAGCCTGGGTCACAGCAGCACAGTACCTCCAGGCCCTGTGCATCGGCCCTCTGCCTGGGCCCCCACAGCCTCTCCCGCTCATCCAGCGTGTGGATCAGCCTGGCCGACAGCTTGATGTCGTTACGGAGAACCTGCCGGTGCTGGGTGATGCCGTTGATGTTGCGGACCCTACGTGCCAGGTCGCGGTTGACCCCCGGAGCCAGCTCGCAGTCCCGCAGCTGAGATGGACAGGCGGCTTGGGGTAAATACGGGGCCGCCGGCTGGCGGAATGCTGGGCAAAGCCCTCACCGGTCGCCAGAGGGCACAATGCAAGCCATGCTGTCATCACAGAGAAGCTGTGTCACCGACCACGGCTGACTCGTTTTTAGGAAACACTCACACGAATGTTCTGCAGGTTCCAGCAGATCTCCTTGATGTTCACGCTGCGGTCAAACGTCACCCAGCAGCGACGGAAGAACCTGGCAGACACATACGAGAGTGAGACCTTCACACCGCTCCCCAGTGTTCACCACATTCGATGAAATCGCAAACATCCTGAGCGTAATGAACATCCTGAGCGTAATGAACATCCTGAGCGTAATGAACATCCTGAGCGTAATGAACATCCTGAGCGCTGCCGTGGAGACTGACCTGCGCTCTGGCTGGGGCTCTGATAATGCTACCCGCATGAATCCCGGGTACCGCCGGCAGAGCTGCGGGTTTGAGTGAGACGGGCACTGTCAGCATAAGTGAGCCCTCCCCCGCACTCTACCCCTCCCCCCTGTAAGGAGTGCTGACTCTCACCGCGACAATTTCTGCCTTGGAGATGCTTGGCGCGATGCTCCTCATGAAGAGTGAGCAGGTCTTGTGCAGCGGCCGCGGCCGCACCTGCACCTCCTCCTTGGCCGTCTTCTCCACCCGCTCTTTCTCCTTCAGCTGCTGCTCCTTGTGCTCCTTTGCATTCGCTGCGGAGACAAGCCCAAGTTCAGGTGGAGGCAGATCTTATGAATGTGTGACACATGACCTGTGACCCTCCAACCCGTCCTCACCTTCGCCTTCCTCCTCCTCCTCCTCATCTTCCTCTTCCTCCTTGTCCTCACCTTCCTCCCGCTCGGCCGGTTTCTCGGAGGAGCGGGAGACGGAGTCCGAGTCAGAGTCAGACTCGCTGTCGGAGGCGCTGGCCTCGTCCTCGCTGTCACCGCTGCGCTTTCTCTTCCTCTTCTTACTCAGCTGGGGGCGGGGAGCAGCATGACCACATGACCACACTGACCAATAACCAAGCCACCACCCTGAAGAGGCCTCACACCAGTGCCGTCTGCAGAACCGCTCACCTTCTTAGGCTCCGGTGGCTCCTCTTTCCCTGGCGCTGCCTCCACCTTGTCCTCCTCAGCCCCGCCCCCTCCGGTCCCACCTACACCTTTCTGCTTCTCCTCAGTGCCTCCTGCCCCGCCCTCGCCCTGAGAGGCAGAGATTCCTGTTTTTTAATTGGACAGAAGCACCCATCTCATGCCGTCTCTCTAATGGCATTGCAGTGAATCCGCCTCCATCCTTCAAGGCCACTCCGACCTTCTCCTTGTCCTCCCTGTCCGCTGCCAGCTTGCGGTCCGCATTCCCCGCTTTAGGCTCCTCCCTCTTCGGAGGCTCCGCCCCTGGCCCACCCACGGCCGCCCTCTCCCGCTCCTCCTCCTCCTCCGTGGGCTGCTCCAGGATGCGCAGGTCATTGTCACTGCCTCCCTCCATCTTTATCACAGCTGAGGAAGAGGAGGGAGATGCATGACCATCCCCAGGCGGCCTATGATTTTCCTAAACAAAGCTATTTTCTCAAAAACTTTCAAATATACTTCATTAGTGTTAGTTAACTACCCCTAAGGTCAGCTGGTGTTGCAACTAGCAACCGTGAAGTTCACGTCCTTAACTAAGTTGCTAAGTGAGCACAGGGCCCATCGTAAACAGTCGCCCACTTTTATCATTATTTTTCTA